GGGGGCATGGGCTCCCTCAGCCCCTCCCCTTGCCACATCCCTGAGAGTTATGCCCAGTTATGTCTCTCGAGACATAAATTAATGCATGTTCTCAATGAGGATGCCCACTTTGATTTGTATTAAAGGGGTTGGGAAGCCTCCACTACATCCTAGACACCAAAGTCCATTTGATGATATAAACCTGATAGTCACAAATTTGTAGCCTGAAAAGTGTGTGCAAGGGAATCCGGACTCCAGGATCAAGGAGATTTTTTCCTTCGGAATCCAGAATCCGTGAAATATTTGCTTGCGGAACCAAGGACTGTGGAACCACAAACAATTGGAATGGGGAAACAAAGAATCCGGAATCCAGAGTGTGGAGTCCAGAATCCAAGACTGTTTTGGATTCCCTTATATGGGCAAGGTGGTTTGCCAACCTTAGCAGTAGTGGAGGAGAGTGGTTAACAAGGCAAAGATAAAAGATGAAAACAAGGGCACCTTTAGAATGTAGTTTTTGTTGAGAGTCCCTGACCGTGCTCAACATTATTTTATATTTTAATTTAAGTTTGCAAATTGTGACTGTGAATAAATTGGACACTTCTTCTAGCCAGGTAGATCAGAATGACCAGAAATTATGTTATTTGAATGTTGTGCATGTCAAGAAAAAGCAAGCAAGAACAGCTACAACAAATTAATTAAAGGCTTCATAACTATTGCACTATCATTGCACTAGATTGTGTAGCTGGGACACTGGTACGCTCAAACTATACCCTATTCTGCAACAGAAAGCTCTAAATTATCCCAAACTAAACATGAAAGCATGGGAAATTTCTATGAATGAAAAAACCCTGATTTCACACCCCTATCCCTTACAGGTGGCCCCTATTTTCAAAAGTGGCACACATGCATTATAGCTTATCATAGAGAAGATTTAAGAAAAGATCATGTTTTATGTATAATACCAACAGTATAATTTAATTCTGGGCAATATTGCATTAACAGTGATAGTTTAACAAGGAAGAGATGAGTGTGAAAGTGACACAGAGGAAGTGACTTTTGCTTGATTATGTTTGGTGCTTACAGTGTCATTGTTATATCTTTGTCCCAATAAACAGTCCTTAACAAAGTCTGGTTTGGGACTCAAATTTTGTTATATGGGTGTAAAAACATGAGGGGCCATTTTTCTGTCTCCAAATTTACCTCATTTTCAAGGAATAAAGCTACTTGTCTCACTTTCATGTTAAAGCCATGTGAACTTCTTCCTTGTTCCAAAATCATGTGATATCACTCATTTTGTTAGTCTCCCATGTAGCCGTTTTTTGAATGTCATGCAACATTCCCCTAAAACAGAACATTGCGTGACATCGAAAAAATGGCTGCGAGGGAGACTATCATTTTCTTTGTTGCTGCAAAATCTAATACATGTATATCACACATGTGGTCTGTTGCCTGAAAGTATTTCACTGTTTTTTGCACACGAGTAACTGGCGTTATTGGAATCTCAACTACATTTATTTAGTGGACAGTGTAGTAATGTAAGTAATTTTTTAGTTTTGTTTGTTTTCATCAGATTAAGATGCAGTCAAAGAGTATAGCAGTTGCTGAGATTTCTAAAGGATTTCTGTCTTGCCAAGCCATAGAAGACATTCCATCTGGATCATTCATCACAGATCTCTGGGGCCCTGTTTTTGATTCTCCAACTGCTCATACTGTTCACATTGACAAGGAAAAGCATGTAGAGCCACGAGGGCCAATGATACGTTTTAACCATTCATGTCAGCCTAACAGCAAGTTTGTCTACGAGAAGCGCCAAGCAACCTTTCCAGATCTAAACAGTAATGATGAAGTGTTCTGGTATGTCGTGGCTACACGGGATATAAAAAAGGGTGAAAATATTACTTATGATTACAATACAACTGAGTATATCATGGCTGAAGTGTTCCAGTGTATGTGTGGCGCAGATACTTGTTTGGGTGAGATTAAAGGTTACAAGTATTTATCACCAGAACAACAAGGGCAAAGGAAAAATGATGTATCACCGGTCATTAGGAATTTTAGCAATAAATGTTAATTAAAACTAGCAAACTAAGATGTTGTCTTTACTTGAACTGAATTACGGTTAATGTTTACTACAAGGTTATTATTTTTAAATATTTAAAGGCCGCGTGTTCTTGTACTATGAAAATCACTAGAGTGGTAAATTTGCTGTTTCTCCACAGGTAGCCCAAGCTCAAAAAACGGTTTTCTCTCTGTATAAAAGTTTACCTTTATATAGAGAAAAAACCGTTTACAAAATCCATGAAATGGCCATAAATCGGCCTGTGGATCACACAGGAGAGATGTAGCACACTTTTCAAGTTAGGTAAGCTGTTTTTTATTGAAATCCTTTCATTTTCGTACGTTACCGAAATGATAGTTTTTTTTTCCCATACAAATCCTTATATTTTGAATGTTATGCAACAATGTCGATGCTCGCTGATGCTCCTATTTCGAGCTTGGGCTACCTGTGGTTTCTTTGAAGGGAAGGCTTTTAAATCATTGCGCGAGTTGCCTAAACTAAGATGAAAAAATTGCCGCATGATCAGAAAGGCATTGACACTTATTAGAAGCAACAAATCATCTCAAATTATGGAATCACTATTCACGTTTAACTTGCGAGTAAATCAAAATTTGGTGGAGGCTTAAGTTTGGATGAAAATGTTGGCAAGTACAAAGGTGCTTACTAACCACCTGCCACTGCATTAAGAAAAACTCTGAAATTGTTGAAAAAACTTTTATGTTCATATATTTTTTTTAAAATCATGACAATCCATCTGAGAGTCTTGGGGTGCTTACCTTAGCCAAACGTCCCCAAAATTTTGGATATAACCTTAATAATAAGGTAATTTTTCTGGAATTCTTACCAAAAATTGAGAACTGTGTTTTGAAGTGTTCCTTTCATTGTGAATAGAGCTTCCTTTTGTCTCCTTGAGTGTGGAGTAAAAGAGAAGGCTCTGTCTGAATGGCATCAAACCTTTTGAAGTCAACACAGCCCAAACATCTGGACTTGTCAATCTTGTTTTTTCTTGTCAAACTGGTCTGAGTAAGAGCTTCTGTTTATTGATTATTTTGTAAAGCCCTAAAAAACTCTATGCTTAGTTTTTATACTAATCAATTAATTATCTACCTTAGCATGAAGAAATACTATTTATTTAAAAAAAAACTGTATAAAAACTTAATATTGTGTGTAATTATATTTTTGAGGTCATCCACTACATTAGCTTTTGCTGTTTGGATTATCCTGACTTGCCCCTTTTCTTATGACCACAATATTATTTTATTCTTTACTTATGTAAATGTATTTATATATCTCTCGTTTTTTTTCAATCTGTCACATGTAAACGGAGCTGAGTGAAATAAACCAATGGTTATAACTGACCCCGCTGTACCAAATTGCTGGTTATTCTGTCTGTGTTCAAAATTGTATCCTAGCAACATGCAGCACATGCTCGACAAAGATCTCACTCCATTCATACTCGATCTTTTCTTGAGTATGCCAAAATTGAGCAAGTGAAAGAAAAGCTCTGCTAGCAGGGTGAGTTTTTGGCAGCTGCCATTGCAAATTTCCAGTGGCAGATTTACTGATGATTTTGATAGTATTTCATGTTACACTGTGTGCAAACACTAAAGCTGGAAAGGTGTCTGCTCTTTGCAGCAGGCTACATGTATATGTAGACCTACTTAGGAAGTGCCCCTACCCCGCAGTGCCTACTGCCCACACAATGATAAGAATACCTGGCTTGTGTCTTGGAGAACCCCCCTGGGAGCTCACAATTTTTGAATCCTGTTAGGTAACACCCATACTCAATTCCACGAAGAGTCACAGCCTCATGTCTACTAGAGATCCATCATTAGTCTTATTGAGGAGGTGTGTGTGTAGGGAAGTTGAAATAAGCTTTGCAATTTTCGAATATCCTTATGTTAAAGGTGACAACCCCCCCTCTAATATTAATACAGCAAGGAAGTAATCTATTCAAGGGATGTCGTGTCGGCACGCGAAAGAAGACACGGAAGTGAGGGGCGTGGCTTTGCCGCTCACTAGCAGCTTTTTTCTTGGCTCGCTTTGCTTGCCACTGAAAATAAGGGGGCATGCTCTTAGGCTGTCCCATGAACAACAGATTGAAAATCAAAAATTGCCTCGCAGAGGGCGTCTGTCAGCCAAATAAATGACCCAACTCTGGAAGGGATTCGGGCAAAGAATTAAAGCTCTCGGGACGGAACAAGTATTGGGGAAACTAGAATTTTTGTCTATGTCTACATGATAGGCTATAGCGATATGAAAACCTATCCAATATGGAATGAATATCTGTGCACCCAGAGCCAAAGAATGACACAGAAGCTGGCCTGGTCTGAGAGACGCCAAGTAAAAAAGGGGGCAAAAAAAAAAAAAAAATGAAAGCGACGGAGGCAGAGAAAAAGAGAGGAGAGCTCTCTCCAGTCTCTGTCGTTTTTCCTTGCGTTCTTTACCTCGCGCCGGTCCCTACTATCTGAAGGCCTAGAGCAGGTTAGGGCGAGAAAACAGCCGACATTTCGGGACGCCACCACGGATTTCCCGCGAAATGATGTCTGACAAACGAGTGCAGAAATTCCATTTTGATGACGCGACAGTACCAAGGGGTAGTGCTTCTGATTGGCTGAAAATCTTCTTCAACCAATCGGAAGCACTACCCAGATCTGGGTAGTGACGCGTCATTAGTATGGAATTTCTGTGCTCGTTTTTCAGACGTCATTTCGCGGGGAAACCAGTTGTGGGTGGCGTTGCGAAATGTCGCTTGTTTTATCAAAACCGGGCGGAAATCACCTTTCTTGTGTGTGAGCAAACACCCTATCCTATATGGTTTTGTACAGTGTAGACTTAGGGCGCTTTTCATTTGTCAGAACTGGCCGGCCGGACCATTGCCCGACTGAGTCAGTTTGAAAATGAAATAGGCTTTTTCCAAGAGTTTTTGCTGGAAAACCATCTCCTCCGTGCATACTGTTTAGGATTTGACTGATCTGGCTGGAAAGTTTTGATTAAGAGCGAAGTTGTCATTGCGACAGGAATGGTCTGGTCGGTCAGTTCTGACAAATGGAAAGCGCCCTTAGCCTCAGACTTTGCCCTTTGCGCTCTCAAAATAGTTTGCGATCGGTTTTACATTTTCATAGCCCTTTTACAGCCGCCCCATCCCCTCTAGGAAAAATTCGCTTTCCCAATTTTTTTTCCTCACAGTCTCAATCAGAGTCCTTACTATAAAGGTTTTAGGGTTTAAGACACTTAAACATGTTAAAATCGTCTTGTTAAAACCGCCGGTTTTATTTTCAACGGCGAAAGATTTTCAGTAGAGGCTGAAAGCAGGTGAGAAAAATAGCCAAAATAACAGGAAACGAAATGTCGAGAGCATCTGGCACTGCGATAAAAACGGAATCGAAAATTCAATTTGTTTTTTTGGAAGATCATAGTCAGGTTCGTATCGCAGTTTAGGGATTATAATAGGTGTGAGATATATCGTATTACTCAGATATTAGTAGAATATAAGTTTTACGGTTTGATCAAGAGCTCGTTAGCGTAGTGACGGGGTTATTGAGTGAAAACAAGGATTAAAGATTAAACTTTACACAAAGTGCTACTTCCGATAAAAGTACGTTTTTATCGTTATTAATTGACAGAGGCCTCATATTTGACACTTAAAAAGTCAGTTTTACATGTAAATCTGAAACAATCAACATTGGTTTGAAATCATTTTATTGAAGACGCACAAACCAGCCGCCGATTTCTTGGATAAAGAATTTTTAAAATGTCTTCATTGGTGATTGAAATCCTTAGTTTTTGGTCTTTTTGGAATGCATTTTCTTTTTCATACGGTAAGTTTGACTTTTATAGAGCTGTTTCTAGTCTCACAGTTATGCTATAGCTGTCTTGATCACAGTCGAATAGTTTAAACAAAAATCAATGTCTTGCTTCGAGTGCGTCCTTAAAATTACTATTTTGAAATTCATTTCACGGTTCCGTTTGTAGATAAGAGAACTGATATAACATATAAGACCCTGACAAGGAAAAAGGGTGTAATTATTACCTAGAAGATGGAAGTGTCTTCTTGTTCACTCAGCGGCGACCACTTATATTCATTGTTGCGGTAAAATATTTGAAACTATTCATCGACAGCAAACATTGCATCCGTTGCTTAATTTGGTTTAAAATTTTACGTCAAGGAACTTCTACTATTAAAGCTGTTTATGTTCGCCTCGTACCAATTCACTAATCGCGCTTTTCCTAGTAAAATGATTTTCGCAAAACTCCGGTATCTATGATATTTTTAGCCCTGAACAGTCCCGTCGTAAAGCGACAACGTCAACCCAAGTGAGTCAAATCTGAGGAGTCCAAATAACAGTTTTCTACATTTAATTCAGTAGAAGGTGAAAAAGTCCGTTAAAGAAAAGTCAGAGAGAGGAACTATTGTCATGTGATTTACACAATCTGCGGCCGGCAGCTGATTGATACGTACGTGTAGGACTACGAATAAAGTAGTCTTATCAAGCAGCGGTTGACCAAATTATCAGAGGTTAAAAACTATTGAAAACGTTAAGTCTGCTTTGCTAAACAGTGGCAAGTAAATGATGCATCATTTCACTTTTTCTTAATGGCGTCCTGCGGAACATTCAAAAGGCGACGTTCGTAAGTCCTGGTATGTTCAGCTCTTTGGTTAGTTTCTTTTATGAAAAATAATTCAAATTATAGGAGAATTCGTCAAAGAAAAAGGCAACGTCATTTTCCCATCACACTGCCAGTAGGTTTCCTTTAGCTCTCAAGAGACATTTTTATCGCCTTTGGAAAATTAAAAAAAAAAAATTCTAAGTAAGCAAGCAGTTCTTTCACCGGATTGAATTTTTCAGGAGTTCCGCTTTATGAGCCTGTGGGTTGTTTTCTGGACAGCGGCATTTCACCTCATCCTATGCCTCTGCTTCTTAAGAATTTCCGTCCGCAAATGAAATGGGATGACATCACTGCTGTGATTGACTGGTGCGCGCGCTTAGCGCATGACAGAAGTCTGAGGTAAAAAAATATTTTTTTCATAGCTGAATTTTCTGACATAACTGCACAGTTTATGCTGGTCACAACATGAAATGACACCATTTCGAAATTTTGGCAAGAGGACGGTCGGACACCTATTGCAAGACAAAAGAGACTCTGCCCTAGGGATTTAGAACCTTCCCCTAAATGAAAATGTAAGCAGTGAAAAACCACAGACCATTATTATTATTTTGGGGGGGGGGGGTTAAGGGGTTGGAAAATTTTCACATGCAAACAGTTTTTTTGTGTTTCCGTCTTCCTGCAAACACTTTAATTTTTACTTCCATACAATCTATTTCAGTGTGTACAGCCTCTGCAAATAATTTATTTCACAATTTTCCAACCCCGCTCCTTCCCCCCGTCAAAAACATAACGGTCCTTCCCGTCCGTCACATTTTTTAAGTTGCATACTTTATTTATATGCAGATTTTCCTACAATAAATCATCTATTGTTTCTTAAATGAGTTCAAGGAGTCTCGGAGCAGCCTCGTCCCCAGGGCGCTTTTCCTCCAATAAAGCCAGGGAAAAGCGCCCTGGAGACGAGGTTGGTCTCGGAGCGCTATTAAAGATAGTTAACAGTGATTCATAACAACCTTGCCTTAACTTTTATAGTGATAGACAGGGACCCCTCTTGGAGACCTAGAGGCAGAAAGTCGGTTCGGAAGAAGCCACGCCGTTTCCCCTGACCCGGCTTCTCCTGGGTCTCAAAGGATGAGAGGAGTCCACAATCCCCCAGCGGGACTGAAGGTTAGCCTGCGAACGATAGACGTTTCTCCTCGCTCATCGCCGCTGAGGGACGTTTGAGAAACGTCTGCCGTTCGCAGGCTAGACTGAAGGTCTGCTTACGATCTCAGCAACGCTAGATCTTATTTTCTTTTAACGGTTGAATACTGTGCTAGGCGGATAAAAGCGTCATCCAAGTTCGTCAACACAAATGTTGATTACCAATGATATTGTTCGGAGAACCCCTGACGTCAAAGGTTGAGAATGAATCTCATTTGTTTTATATTTATCTTAAACTAGCTACTTTGGGCTACAGAATTATGGTGAATGTTGGTCCGGAGAAACCGCTGGTCAAACATACAGCCGTGACGGTCGGGCAGAAAACTGTAAGAGTGGTGTAGGGCTGAGTCAATCTACTTACTTTGTGTATAAGTTTTTCGACTATGGGGATAAGGGTAAGTTTTTCAGTGATGTAAACAGTTTATCCTTTCCAAATAGGAAATTGAAACTTTTGCGTTAAAATCTGCATTTTGGGATAAAATTATAGCCACCGTATTGGTCATCTGTATTCTTTTATAAAGAACAAAAGATCGATGCTCAGATTTCAATCAACAACGGCCCCACTAACAGAGGGTGGTCTGCCTGTGATGGAATCAGCATTTTATCCAGTCAAAGGAAACCGATCCCAGGCAGGTGGGGATAAAAAGATGACCTGCGTTTTCATGCAATCTTACAACCCCACCTACCCGGGGTAAATTTTTCAAGATTGCTAAATGCATGGTCCCTCACTTTTGGTTGTTAATGCTTTTCTACTCTGATGGAACCTTTCAATGCCGTTGTCTCTTGCAAAGCCGGCTATCAAAATAAAGGCAGTCTGTTGAATTTGGCGTGAATTTGATGTAACACGAAGTCCGTTCCCAGCCATAAGGGTTTGCCCGACCTCGAAACGTTTACTGCGTGACAAACTTTGACCCCCGGCGGGGGCACTTGGGTATTTTTTGGGTGGGTATGTGCCGCCCGGGACTCCAAATTGGTACCCCGTTCTAAACAAAATTTCCCCTAAAATTGATATCCTGTTCTAGAAATGGGCCAATATTTTATACGCCGTTCTAAAATTCCTGTTTCATGATTTCATGATTGTCTGCTATACTGACCTGCTGTGAGTGATGGGTAAATTGGAGTAAATTTTTTTATTTCTTTTTCTTTGTGACTCATTTAGTTCCTGGGTGTAAAGAAAAATGGAAAGCGCACAATAACTTTTGTTTCAGCGTGTTGACAAATGACACCTTAACAACAAGTGAGATGAAAGACGTCTGCACTGAAAATAAAGGAGAGTTGGTTTATGCGATGAATAAAAGAAGTTTTCATTTGGCCGAACGGTTCCTTTACACGATGCAGCTGAATGCAGAGACAAACTCATCTCACCGTGTCGTCCTTGGTCCTGCTAACGCAAGTTCCTTCGCAACTCTACCTGTTTCTCATAGTTCTGTGTACTCCGTCGCCACGCATACCTGTGCATATAGCGATTCCAGTCAGTTGAAAGTGGAGCCGTGCGATGCGAACAATTACGGCTATTTGTGCATGACACTCAGAGGTAATCAGTGTTGTGTACGCAAATTACTTTGTTTTTTAATTTCCCGAAGACTTTGTTTCATTTTAAAAGGAAGGGCGACGGATGCACATACGGGCGATTTCAGGGAAGTTCAGGGCAGAATAAGAGTGTCGTATATAACTTCAAAGAAGCCTGCTTAGCAGGATTTTTTAGGGCCATTGGAGAAATCTCGTGGACTCTCGCGCGAGGCAAGAAAAGCAGAGGTGGTCGCCATTTCGCTCATTCCCCTTGCTCTGCCTGAAACTTGTAAACGGCGCCTGCTATGCGGGGTATAGAGAAAACAATAGAATATCTCGAGAAGAGAACTTCACGTCCTGTGGGTGGCCATGGTCATCGTGAGAAATCCTTGCAATACCGAAGAAACTACCATGATTTGAGCTTTGATGTATCATTGTCCCCGCTCTTTTTCATGTCGATGTTTGTAACAAATGCCTGATCACTGAGAAGGAGTTCTAATCATTTTGCTAATAGAACTGGTTACCGTAATGGCATCCATATAGCAAGTAGCTCAGAGCCACCTTAACCTTTCAAAAATAAACCCAAGGTGGCAGTCTTATCTCTTCGCCATAAACTTTATTTTAAATTTGAAAAAGTCCTGCTCTTTTAACGCTCGAATATTTGTAATAATAATCAATGTTGGGATTTAAATTTAAGTAAGGAGGGTTTTTAGGAGCCAATTCTGTTGCTATGGTAACCTTCTTTGTCACGTTATTACCCACATCTTGACTGCTAATGACTGGACATTTGTTCAATGTCAACTAAAAATGACTAGTAATACACTGATTCCTTAATCTTAAAATATACTTTATGTTGGATGCTGGTGTTGTCCGTCCTGATACTGAAATGGCCGTGAATGATTTTATTTTTAGAGACAGACCCAGTGGTTGGAAAGTTGGCCCAACTTGGCACAGACACCGCCATACCAGGCCACGTGATCAAAAAAATGCTAGTTGATGACGTAATCGCATGTGCTTGTGAATGCCTTCGTTACCTGAATTGTTTGTCAGTTAATTACGAATACAAACCGACGGGCGACCGAGATTTTCCGATGTTAGGAAGAATCTGCGAGCTGAATGACGAGACGAAGAAAGACGTCCATCTTCATAGACGAGATGGCTACAAATATTATGAGAGATTCAACATTTAATGTGTCACATTTTAAGCCGATTGACATTAGACTGTACGACGAGAACTTTATAACACGTCAACTTTTCTTTCATAGTTTTAATCTAATGCTTTTTGACATTCACTTTAAAATCGTCCTTTTTGGAGGATCTGAATTTGTAGAAATGCCCAAAATTGATATGTTTCAGTTGATTTCTCCCCGAGCGGTCCTCCTTCTCTCTTCAGAGCCACGCGCGGCGAGCGAAAAGTCATAGTTATGAAAATTAATGGCCAAAAAAAAAAAAAAAAAAACGAGAATTCTAAGGTGTCTCAAAAGAAAAATAAAAGACTACTCGCAATCTAAATAATCATAAGAGAGATTTAGAATCATGTACATTGCAACAAATGGCAAAACGTCAAATTGTACCATGTGACCAACCCTTTACTTAACGTAAACTTTTCATTGCATCTACCCAGAAATCGGAATCTCTCTGTGGTAACAGCTGCTACCCTGCGAGCAGGGGTTTCTTTCTTTGTTCAATCCCCCCGGAAAGGGGTAGTAAAGAAATCAAATTCGCGAATGACAGCGAATTGAACAACTCCGCCGAGACAACTCTATGCCGAGAGGAAACTTCTGCTCGCAACATACCTGATCGATGTATCGCAGACTGTAAAAAAAAAAAACAGAAACAGAAAAAAATTTACAATTACAATTTACAGGAAACTTCTGCTCGCAACATACCTGATCGATGTATCGCAGACTGTGAGCAGTCTGTTATTTTTCTTTGCAAGGTTACTGCACGCGAAACCGAAGCGCTGGCTGAGATACCTGATGGATTGTAAGAAAAAAGGAGGACTGCAAGCAGTCTAGGCGTATAAGGTTGGGCGTGTTAATTCTTCACGAGGTATAATTTAGAAGAAGGAGAAATCCAACACTAGAAAGCTCAGAAAAACTTTCGAACTTGACTCCAGGTAAGAGTTGAACTCACGACTCTCCGAGTGAGTTCGCATGCTATCCATGCTACTGGAAGCACCATGGCCGGAAGGGTCGAAAATTAATTATATAATTACACCAACCATAGAGAACTGTATAGGGAACTTGCTCCAAATCGGCTGTTCACCAGCGTACAAGACCAGCACTGTACAATATACTGGGATATAACCTTAACGTCTGGTTGAGCCAGCTGATGAAGCTGGCATGATATGTGGGTGTAATAATATATCATTTCTGTTTCACTAAGGTAAATTTTTAATTTTTCCCAGAAAGTCTATTATTTTCAACCAGACATACACCAAGCAGTCAGTCAAAACAACTACATAAACAAATATAATATATTCGACCTTACTCATTTATCTTTTGCCTTTTGAATTTCACATGATAAATGTTTACTTTTTCAGCAAGTAATCGAAGGTAATCAGTAAATAACCACGTTTTTTTGGACAACCCTTCGAAAGGTTAGACGAAAAAAAAACAATCGAAATCAATGGAAAATTGGTTCTCTTAAAAACAGGTCTTTTTTAAATGTTAGACTCTAAATTTCTCCCATTTTTTATTCATAAAAATCTTATACTGACTTTCTTGACGAAAGTAAATCATTTCATGAGGATGTTTGAATAACAGAGAAAATATGTAAGATAAACTCAACAAATTTTAAATTGGTCTGGATAGCAGCAACAATATAGATAGTCGTATAAACATAACAACTTTCTATAATTTTCCAGACATGTTTCGACGGTTCATCCGTCATCTTCAGTGTTACATATTTTGAATCGCCGTTTTAATTTAGTTTTTTTTCGTTTTAGTACGCAATATTGACAACGCAATGTAACGAACTTTGTAAGATCGCGCGCGCTTTTAATTCAACGGCGATTTCAAAATATGTAACACTGAAGATGACGGATGTACCGTCGAAACATGTCTGGAAAATTAAAGAAAGTTGTTATGTTTATACGACTAAATTTTAAATTGTCCTCATGCATAGCGGGTGTTGTAATAACCATGCAGATAAGGCAAAATAGAATTTAACTACTTCTTTATGAATGTTGATTTGCAGTAATGTATTAATTTTGCTTCGTGGCCTGCTCTCTAGACAGGCTTAGTTTTTTTCTCAACGACAATCATCAAGCTAAAGACATGAACGCAGCATTGAAACTTCAGTTTCTCATTACAAGTAATTTCCCCAAAATTGTAATTCAAATACGTATTGTCTTAGAGGCAACGAAAAGTCACTCTATTCAAACAACGTTTATTCAACTTCGATATTTACATTATAACATAAATATTCAAAACAAACAGGTCAGTTGATAAGATCGGACTTGTCAAATACTATTCTGACTCACCAATTAAAGTGACACCAATTATTTCTTCTTTTGCAATCCTGATAAGAATGGCAGTTTCCTGTATATTTAATTGACATTGGCTTCTTTCAAAAACAAGGATAATATTACGAAGTTTCTCTGAAATAATTTAACGAACCATTTCCTCAGCCAAAAAAAAAAA